ACCTACGTTGCCTGCTTTCTTGCCACCACTCACACTTCATTATGTGGTGGTGTACATTGGGAAAGACTTTCACGCTCCCGCTATTTGTAAAAAGACAAAATGTGTTGTGTYCATAATCTGAATTATTGTTCAGGTAGACTTGTGTTTTGCTAGTAACTTTGTGTGATTTYGGGATCCATGTTGACAGCGCAGTCATATAACTTCTGTTCTTGGCGTTCTGTTTGTGCTTTGYTTCGTTTTCTGTGTTGAGACTTATTCACAGGTACCTGGTACAGCAAATGCAGTAGGACCCTGTTTTTGTTGTTATTGCATTTCTGTGATTTAAAACTACAGGTCCTATAGCAAGTTAATAAGCTTTCAGCATGTCTTAAACTCCTGCTTTTCATAATTTTTTATGGATTAAGATTTTGAGGTATTTGCTAAGTCCTCTATATTGGAAATACATTATCGGCTTAATAGATAAAATCTATCTGGTGCAGTATATAGTTCTGGCAATACTGCATTGCACTTTTGCTTAAATAAAAGATTTTTTCTCAGTGGGATATGTTTGTATGCTAGTGAAATGCAAGCTAGACATGTTTACGTTAACCATTTGGTAAGAAAAAATAATTTCTGTATCTTAAAGTTGTAAAAATGTCGGATTATGCCYTGTCTTTTGTCCTGTTTTTGAGAAGAATCAGAAGATGGTTGATTTAAAAAAATATAAGTACATGAAAGAGAAGTACTTGAACAGACTAAAATGATGTTTCATTTAAAGCTATAAGCCTCTGTTAAATGAAACTAAAAATGCTATTAAAAAATGGATAAGTATTCTTAACTCCTTATTATCCTGAGTATTTGCAAGTACTCTGAGCACATTGAAGTCCGGCATTTCTGGATAGAGTTAAGTATATTTGCAGCCCCATCTACATGAAATAAGTTCCTGTTTGGCAGCTGCATCCTCAGATCTTAAATTATACCATTATAATTTAGTCTAAGCTGTTCTGCACTTCCGTTTTTTGCAAACAAAAGGAGCAAGTCCAAAATAAAAGCAAAGTAAAACTCAATGTTCTTGAACTATTGTCTGCTTTGATTTACACAGGAAGGTCTGTTTCTGTAAATTCAACTAAACTGCTGGTTTCCTTCTTCGCTCTCAAAGAAGCCTTCTTAATATTTGCTCTAGTTGACTGCTTTTTTTTTTCAGGAGTTCCATGTCTGTATGTTAGAAAGAACCTTGCTTAGAAAGTAAATGCATCAGACATTTGATACATTTTTAGACAGAAGCATAGTAAATCATGAGTTAACGTGCTGTTAGTCAAGGTAATTATTATTTCCTTCTGTCCTTGCTTTGCAGATGTGCCTGCAATGAGGGTGGGATGGACGAGGTGGAACTACGAGGTGGAATCTGACTTGATTCCATAGTTGCAGTGAGGAGAAAGTATCTAATGCAGGTGGAAAGCAARGAGACTGTCAGTGAGGAAAGGGCAGGGAGAGGAATAGAAACTGCTTGTGCTGGCCCTGAAGGGTAATCAAAAGGAGGTGTGAATCTCTTCATGTGTTTCCTGATTCTTCTGCATTATTCCTATTAAGGAGATTTTCTTTTCTACTGGAGAAAAACATAAAAACATGCCAGGTTAAATTAGGGTATCAATTATACTTAAGTGTAATAATTAACTGTCTTAAGAAGTGACAAGTTTTAAATGGTACAGAGTTGAGAATTGAATGAAGGTAGCGGCTTCAAAATATGTGCTTGTTAGGGCTCTGAGAATGGTGACTAAAAAGTGACTATTACCCTTGCTTCCTAACAGAAATTTATACAGTCTARTATGCCATATGCATATACAGTCTASTATACCCTCTCCCTATGCACAAATGATGTTTGGAAAACTGTTTTATATTTATATTTAGTGTTTTAACCTGTAGGGTAACCTCAACTCTTTGTCAGAAATAAAGTCCCCATTCTATTCCCACAGCGTTATTAAAGAGGCAGCTATGAGAAGAAGAGCAGCCTGTTAAGCACACGGGCCAAAACAACATCTGCAGAATAAGCTTACATTTGATTATGTATTGTGTAGCTTTTTGGTGAGAAACCAAGTGTAGTTGCAGGGAGGAAAAATGGTTTGAGATCACGCCAGTAGCTGCGAGATCGGCGTGAATAGTTACCGTGTTGTTCAGCGCAGTGCTGAGGGAACCGTGGAGCTGTTTATTTAGGGTTTCTTCATCTCCGTCCTCTTGTTAAAGCTTTTCTTAAGTTGCTGCAGTGACAAGACCCGGAGGGCTCTGTGGTAGTATTATTTCAACTGCTTTTGTTTATATAGCAGAACAGAGCTGCCATACCAGATCTTGTTGTTTCAGAGGAGGAACTTGGCCTGGAAGTGCACTTCCGCGTGTGAAACCGGTGCTTCCATGCCATAGATATGCCAAAAAGTGGTCCACTGTACCTCAGGAGTTTTGTATGAAGCACCATAGCTCTATTCATTATTAGAAGATCTGGAACCCAGGCTGACTCTTGTGTGCTACRTAACTTTGTGGCCGGCTACTTTTGCTCTTTTCCATATCAACATAGTCCTTCAACATAGTCCTTGCAGCCATGCTATGCCATTGACCCTTAGCTTTAGTGCGTTAAGAAACACAGGCTTCGCTCATCTGTGACATGTTGCTCTCCATTCCACTTTTTTTTTTTTTGATTTTATTTTTAGGTTATGAAGAAGTAGGAACACTTCAAATGAGATTTTGTAAAACTGTCAATGACTGAAGTGCTAACATCTGTACTAGAAATATGTCTTAGTGCAGGCTAGGCTTATATTTGCCTTTTGTTCATGACTGAGTCCCATAGATAGCTTATAATCAGCTGTAATCAGCTACTTCACCCATTACATTCACTTCCAAATGTCAAGCTTCTAGTTCAGAGCAGGCTTTTTAGTCTGTAAGAGTATGGTGCTGCTTTTTGTGCTACAGACTCCATCTAATTCCTGCTTTTCTGGAGGTCTTTTGGCTTTCTTATTAGATCACAAAACACTCCTGCACCTGCCTGCTTTGGTCTTCTGCTCAGTCTTTTTTCCTCAAGCATTAAGGAAAAAGTAAAATGAATCCAAAGATCTTGATGTCCAGACAGTGCTACTATGGTGTGAGCCTACTGCATATGCCTTTTCCAGTTCTGCTCTTTCCCAGCATAGTTCTTTCACCATTTTTCATCACCACCTGGATTATTTTTGTGTGTGGCATTCATAACCATGTATTTTTATGCACAATTCCTGGCAATTCTGAGCGTTCTTGGCCACCTGCTGCTTGTTGGATATTATTTAATTTGCACTGACTCATAACCAGGAGCTCAAACTGACCTTTGCGTGTTAGCAGGGATCTTCTGGCATTCCAAACTCGTTATAGTTTTAAAACCCAGAAGGGTCTGCCTACCTCTGCTTTGTTTATTTGGAAGCAATGAAACCCACTGAAATACATACTAATAATACTAATACAATGAATACATACTTTCATATGAAGCTGGCATTTATTATTAATACTAGAAAAGACTAAGTCTTATTTTAGCAGAATGGTGTTCTAATACAAAGTGGGAAATGGTTAAAATGGAGAARCAAAATGGGGAATCATTGGTTTATACCAGGTTCTCCTGATGGAAAGTTTCACTTTGCTAATAGCTGTTTTTCCATTTCTGTTTGTATTTTTTTTTTAATGTTAAGCTGCTTATTTGAAGTATTCAGCTCTGAGTGAGGGCAAAGAGAACTGGACCAAGGAGGGAGTAAGTGATGAAGATGGTAGCGCTTGGCTTTTATCTCACTCTCAGTCTAGTATTTAACAGAGTCACAGAAGGGTTGAGGTTGGAAGGGATCTSTGGMGATCCTCTAGTCCAAGCCCCTGCTGAAGCAGGTWGYCCAGAACCCTGTCCAAACAGTTTGGAATATCCCCAAGGATGGAAATAGTTCTGGGCAACCTGCTCCAGTGCTTGGTAACCCTCACAGTAAAGAATTTTTTCCTTATGTTCAAACTGAACTTCATGTATTTCGGTTTGTGCCCATTGCCTCTTGTCCTGTCACTGGCACCACTGAGAACAGTCTTTACATCTTCTCACCCACTCTGTTTCTATTACTGAAATTTATGTTCCGTTTCTTATCAGTAGCTTAAAAAATCCTGTCAGATGTTTCTGCGATCGCTTGTTGAACAGTGTTGCTTTCATCTGTGTAACAGGCTAAGAAATGGCCAGCTGGCTCAAGGAAAGGGACTGAAGGGGGCTCATGGCTTATTTGAAGAGCTCAGTGCTTGAAAGCTGAAAGTATTACGAGATAAACTTACCTTGGCCAGTGATATTTTCATGAATTTTTAGGCTTTTTAAGTTTGAACAGTAGGTAAAAGCAATAGCACAGAAATATCTGGGACTTTTGAAACTATTTTCCGTTTTATTTTTGAGTTAACTTACACACTCTACAAAGATATTATTTTTGTTGGTGGTGGTGGTCTTTTTTTCAGTGTGAAGACAATCTAATGGCAAGGAAACCCTTAACATAGGAGTAGCACTGAGACTGAGGAAGGGTTTGGAGATTTTTTTTTAAGGTTGCGAGGTGCTGTGAGGTGTGAAGAACCTCTGTTGGTCCTGGAGAGAAGGTATTTGATTAGTGGCTGGCTGTTGATAGGACCTGAGCAACTGAGATCAATATAAAAAACAAGAGCAAAAAGACCCTCGCCTTTTATTATTCTGGAAATAAGCTAATTTTATAATAAAAGTTTTGAAAATATCAAATCCTCAGTTTTCTTAGTGCTGTAAAAAGCCTGGAATTATTTTACAGGATGATTTTAGAAACGCAGCTTCTCCCACAGTGTGTTTGATTCATCTCCTTGAGGCGTGCACGTGGATCCACCTCTTCCCTTTTTCCCTTGCTGCTGCGGGAGGAATACAGCGCGCTCGGGGGCTGGCCCTTGCCTGTCATGCATTCCCRCCACGGCAGATTTAGCCAACTGCAGCTGAGAAGTTAGGCTAGCTGCACTTCGGGCTGCTTGTGCCTGGAAAAAGCTATTGTTTTCCCTGGATCACTGGCATGTTGATGACTCGGATGCTAAAAAAGCAGACAGTTTTGCTGTTCTTGCATTTTCGATCCAAGAATGCAGGCGAGAACTAACAGAAATCCTAAGAAGGAGCTTGTTATAGAGTCTCCGCAGCAGTGCAAGGATGCAGGTGCCTGCGAGGCAGAAGTGGACAGTCCTGTGGTGGTGCTGGTAAGAATTGTTGAAACAAGCTGTGGCTTCCCTTTAATAATTTCAGCTCTGTTCCCCCTTGAAAAATGGCTTAATCTCCTGCTAATGAGAAAATCCAGGATTATTGCTGGTGAAGATGTTTCAGATTTGTTCTTGATTCTTTGTGTGTCTGTCTTTTATTTTTTTTTGTGGTTCTGATTTACAAGGTCTTTGGCTCTTGGAATGTGACTTCAGGCTTTTATATTTGTTCTTTTGCAGTTTCTGGTCTGCCCATTGCAGAGCTCTTAAAGCCTTCCATGAAAACTACATTTAGAGTCCAGCCTAGCACCTGTGCTTTTGCCTAGTGCATCTTTCACTTAAAATATTTTTAATTTCTTTGAAGAGTGTGTATCACAGATTTTACTTAAATGTTCTAAAAACTACCTAAAATATTTTAGATGTACTTGAGTTAAAAGACTGACTTTTTTAAAGCTTAAAGCTTTAAAATAATTTTCGGTGAGGGGGAAGTGAAGAAACTCTGAATGTCGGGGGCATAATCAAAGGCATTTATATGTACATTTGTATATTGCTATATACTACTTCAGTTGTAATTTTTACAGTACAGCAACAGAMCATAACAAGCAAACTGTAAGTAATCCACCAACTCACTGCAACTGAGACAATAAACCTTTTCAAATAACAGAGGAGGTTTGTTAAACTAATCGGCTATCAGTATTCAGTGCATACTTCTGTATCAGTAGGAGGAAAGACTTGTATCATTCTAGCTAAAATCTCAGTTTGCCTTACTAATATCTCACACTTAACTGCTGATTAAAAGGATGAAGGTCTCCTCTTTATTTGTTCAGCTGTGATTGCAGTTGCTGGGAACCGTGACCCTCAGATTAGGATCGCAACTTATTTGAGCTCCACGCTATGCATTAAAGAAACCAAATAAAACATGTTGGACATCTCTGCTTAGTAAAGCGCTCCTGAAGCTTTAAGGCACTTCTTGACTGTATATAATTCAAGACTTACATGCATGTAGGTCAGACAAATTTTCTGTTCCCTTCCACTGCCTTTTAGCTTCTCGCTAGTCTGTTAGTAAAATGTGCAGATCTTCTTTGTTCTTTTTTTTTTTTTGTATGGGTGTGTTCCGATTTCTGGTCCAGATTTTCATCAGTACAGCATGACCTAATCTYGTGTGTGCTTTCCTGCCTTTGGAATGCTTAACTTTATTTAGAACTGCTTTTATTCCCTCCTGAATACTCTGTGAGGAGATTTAAATAGTGTTTCTGCAGATACGTAGGATGTTGTAGTTTGTCAAAAGGCATATGTTGTTAGCTTAAGGRAAAATTAGCTAACAGGTGTTTAATTATAAAATATACAAAGTGCATTGTTTTAATTTTCCAGATACAGCTTAATTTTAACATTCAGACGTGATTAGTGTTTCTCCTCTCTCATTTTCAAGTCTTGTAGAAGGTGGGTGTAKGAGGAACAAAGCTCAGCATTTCTAGGGAAGAGCAGTGAGGTCCAGCGTAGGTCACGTACAAAAATGTCTTTGCTGTCATTTCAGTTACTATCTTTGCCTCAATGTGTTACATATTTAGAAGAGTGTATATAGAAAAGGTAGCATATAATTACAGGGGGTTTTTGCTTCTGCCTTTTTTAAAATTTTATTTTATTGAGGGAAACTAGATGAAACGGTGATTAGGCCACTTGCTGCAAGGATACTTTGCTGGGGGTCTGCTGCTAGATGCAAGGCAAAAAGTAGGCTAATATGTTTCATTTAACAGTGTTTGCACCCGTTTTTATTTTATTGGGATGTGACATGGTAGGAGATTTTTACTGCCACAGTAAAAGTGCACATTTTCTTACTGAAAAGGGATGCAGTTAGGTAAAGAGTAAAACTAATATGTTGCTAGTTGGTGTAACAGCTATAAATAGTGAAACTTCTTGTTGTCTGGACTAGAAACCTTAGAATTTCATGAGATTACTTCTTAGAATAAAGTTTGGAACAATAAGCCCTGGTTCAAGCTGGAAACCCTTCTGGGTGGCTATTGCCTAAAACATGGCAATTTGTTCTTTCGGGTTTAGATGTGCCGCTCCTGGATGGACAGTTACTGCTGTATTTTTGAGTAGGAGAAATCAATTGTGCATCTAAAATCATTTACTTCAACTTTTTTGTTTGCTGGATCTTCGAAAGGATATGTTCACAAATGGTGAATAATATTTAAGAGATGACAACAAAGTAAAACTGACTAAAATACATTCTTTTATGATCATTTGTAATACAAGGACAGTAAGTCAGTCTTCTGTGAGAAGTGTTTTTAAAATAAATCACAAATGTTTACAGATTTTTTTGTAGGCATGTTCTGTCAGAACCTCTTCTTCTTTGGTTAGTTTGAATTTTCTAGTGAACTATTAAATATGTATCCTGGTAGTAGAAGACTTCTTTACCCAAGAACAGTAGTAAAGTGTGGATAGGCTCCTCAGAGGAGCTGCACCATGCATGTATTCAGTATTTGTATCTTTGTGTGTGTATGTGATCTCTTGTGATTCAAATGACACCACATAACACCTTGGCTTTTGAGTTTAGCAAGCAAGAAGACCCCATGGAAAAAGCACTTGGATTTTCCAGGTCTTGCCTCCAAAGCAGCCTCGGAATGAGCTGCTGTGCTGTTTGCAGCTGTACAGGTTGCAAGGTTAGGACACTTGCTGCCAAGTTGCATTTGGATGCTGCGCTGATGTGTTGTTGGCTCATGTGGCTCTGGGAAGTGGGAGCTCCTGGAGACCCTCATGCTGCTTATCACGGGGTCACAGAAGGGCTGAGGCTGGCAGGGCACCTCCAGAGATCATCTTATCCGACTGCCCTGCTCAAGCTTGCATTTGAAGCAGTAAAACATAAAGCGCTCCAAGAGCTCGGATAGAGCTTTGCCAAAATCTATTTTTTGAGGCTTTTGTGCTGTCAAGAAAAATTGACAGGAGATAAGGTGGCCACTTCTGTGTCTGAAGGAGAAGTAAAACATGGGAGAGGCTAGAAATCAAATAATTGGAACTGTATGCATGTTAGATACATGATGGAGAGGCGTGCATTATAGAGGGGCTTACCTGTAGTATTCTAAGTGGGCCACAGTCATCAACTAAGACCTTATAATAAGTAAAACCATGGTGCTTTGTAGTTCTGAATACAGTTGCTGGAATGCTGAAACACTCTTTCTTCCAGTACAGCTTCTTTAATATTTAAGTAAAAAAATAAAGCAAAGGTTTTCAGCCACTCAACCTGGGTAGAAAAATGTGACAGTGGTTATTGTTTTTTGAAAAAAATGACATGCTTTTATGCACATCTATTTTGGCCCTTTGTCTGTAACTATGGTAATCACTTTTGGCCTAGTTTATTTATATGTGTATGTGTGCATAWATATGCACATGCATAAGCACAGGCATGACTGATTTAAAGGATGCATTTTATTCTTTTAAGTCCTAGCACCTTAGGAGTTTTGAATTTGTCAATGAAATTATAGTGCTGCTTAAATATACACACAGTGGGAGGAAGCTCTTTACATAAATCTATAAAAAGGTCATTCCCTCCCACTTTTCTAAAACCGAAGTTACTAAACTGCCTTTACCCATAAAAAGTAATGTAATATTTAAGAAAAAACTCGATGGTACGTACAATTTTTTAAAATAGGTTTCAAAGTCAATTAAAAAATAACGCAGCCTGGACAATTGTGGTTGCGAGACATAAGGTACAAGGAGCCATTATCCAGGCTGGGTGTTAAATAGCTTGGCTGTCCGAGGGCGGGAAATCCCAGCCGCTCTCTTGTGTTCCGTGCATCCTACTGCRTCGTCTGCTCCTGCTCCCTTCCCCCTTTGAGGGGCTCGACTGAAGCTTTCAAGGGAATATGTACTATATATATATGTCTTATCAATATATATCTTATAAGTATATGATGTTTTGTAGTGCAAGGTTAACCATTGCTCTTAGGAAAAACCTGACCCTACCTTGTTTTGTGAGAGGATGAGTGGAAGATGACGTTTGTCTCGACTGCAGCCTACAAGAAGTACTATGGCTYGTTGTTTTTTCTGTAACGTATAATCAAGGCAACCATTGAACCCCTACCTTAAAATTCTTGCATTTTTCCTTGCAATTTTCCTTGCATATTCTGATGACTTTTGACAGTTTTTGTCCAAAAGTCCTGTTGTGATGGGTTAAAATGGCATGTTGGTGTCACGGCTGCCATTGCCAAGTACTTCTTGTTTCTGATAAAYTTTCATATCTGAAATACAGTGGCAAAAATGAAGTGCTACAACAATACTCTGCTCTGGTTTATCTTCCCACAAATATGTCTCAGGCTAATCCAAGTGATGGACTCCATGAAATATTGTGCTCTTGCTTAGRTCACGGAAATAAAGAAGTTATTTGTTGCAAATTAATAGGGAAATTGAAGCCTCGCTTGAGAGGCTAACACTGTTTTCTGTAAACTTGATGTTGAGTCCTGACCACGCTGGATCTTATCTGTGTCAGCTGGTCCATAAATCAAATTCGATAATACTATACCTACGTTTTCCTTTACATTGCATTAAATAATAGACCGGAAAAATATTTTTCTGAAAAAGAGCTTGAGAGGATCTGCTTCCTTGTAATGTTTTAGGTTTGGCCGCATGCCAAAGTCAATGTGCTGTGTATTGTTTTTTTCATATCTGGTTTAAACTGATAAAACATCCTCTTCCTTTTCATACGCTTTGACATATGACTAAGAAAGAAATGAATAATACTTTGGAGAAGCACAGAGAGGGAAATTCTTCAATCTTTTTTTGTAAAAATGATATTTCTGTAGAGCAGAAGAAAGTTTACTGAGTAAATGTGAAGCTGATGTGTTCTGTTACCCCACTGTATGAGCGTCCCTTTGGCTGAGCGCTGTACGCTCAGGACCTCAGCTTTAGGCTCTTTAAAAGCTCCTAGTAAGGTAGGATTCTTTATTAATCTTGGGCTTACCTCCTGTTGTGCAGGGCAAAGCTCATTTGCTTTTAAGTTTTCTTTTATCAGCTTTAGGGTTGTGCTGGACCTCTTTTGTGAGGCAGATTAGAGCTCTGCCTTTGCGATGAACTTAATGCTTTGGTGAGGCTCTGAAGCTACCTCACACACATGTATATCTCAGAGGAAAAGGTGACAGTGCAGAACCAGATGAAGGTTCGCTCCTGGTTTGAGGTGGCAGCTTTCTCTTGCCACGTGCTAAGGGACCTGATATTCTGCTCGTTCCACTTGCTATTGCAGGCAGCAAACATCCTGGTACCGTGAATTCAGGCTCCAGTTGTGTTAACCATATATATGTCTCTGCTTTCCTTTTAAGAAGTTTTCTGAGTTGCATTTTAAAATGTACTTCATGCTATGTATTTTAATACATTTAAGGGCTGTGTTTTTCTCAATTGAGTGTTTCTCTGAAAAGTAAGGACCAGAATTGACGAATTATTTTGCAACAGCTTTTAATTAAGACCAAGTTGCCTGTTCTGGGCAGTAATCTGAATCCGGTCTGCTTCCAAAGGGATTCCGTTAGCTCCCATCTGTTGGCACTGGTGGTCGTGCAGCCTGTGTGCAGCTTTGCAGTGAACTGATGGGAACCCCATAAACACACAGTGCTCTGCCTAGTTTGCCCCCCAAATGTGACTGTTCAGTTGCTGGTGCTAATGTGAGAGGGCTCCGGACCTGGCTGTAAAGGAGAGAGGAGCCTTTGGAGTCTTTGGGGTCTCCTTTGGTGGTTTACTTCATTGTAGCTGCACAGCAATTATGGAGTCTGACTTTATTGAAAATATTCTAAATAAATCTGGTTCTGCACTGGCAACACTTGTAGCCTCTTTGCTTCGAAACTGGGAACGCTAAACTCTCGAAATGTTTGGGGATATAATGTACAGCTAGCTCAGTGGTTGCTGTTCATTCATCTCCTCTGAGAAAGGTAATAAACTCATCATCATCCTCAAGCGTGGCTGCTAACTGCGTTGGGCTGCGCATAGTGTTCCATAATGGAGATGATAAACTTGTAGGAAATCCTTCCAGAGTGACCATAGATAGTAGCAATTTTTCTTGACAAAACTCCACCTCATTCATCACCTTTTCTTAGTAGTTTTATTTTCCGCTTTTTAGGTTTTGACCCTTTCACCTTTTGCTTTCTGCTCTGCTTTTACATTTTTATTAGCAGTAATACTAAGCCATGGTAGGCGTGAGAGAATCCTGGGTAAGTTGGGTGGCCTGAGAGCTTTCCTGAGTTCTTGTAACTAAAGTTTTCTGAAATCTGTGATGAATGAATTTAGATAATTCACTTTTGGAGAGGAAAAAAAAACACCTTTATGTTTTCTCAGGAATATTATTACCATGCTAATGATTAATTTTACTTTCAAATTTAGCAGTTACTATTTGCTAATCAAGATGTTTCTTCTGTGTAGTACTGCTGGATTTTGAAAGTTTATTAACATAATAAGGTATGGAAATGTATAAAAATTGCATTTTTGCCTGATTAGTTATAATGGCAGCATTAGCTGGTCCCTGATACTGCTCTTACGTTAAATGCATCTGACTGAGATTAGTCTCTTCTTCTTTTTGAAGCAAATAGCATGCTCATATGAATGAATATCAGTTGTATTTACCTATGTGACATGATGTGATTTAATCTACATCTTGACTACTCGGTTTCTGAAGTAGAAAAAAAAATGAATTTGGCACCTTTTGACAGAGTAACATGTTAAAACGAGTCAACAGTTGTAATTTTTCACAATATACCTTCCTTTTTACTTTTTGCAGGCAAAACCAAAGCTCATCGAACCAATCGACTATGAAAATGTCATTGTTCAAAGGAAAACACAAATTCTGAATGATGCTCTACGTGAGATGCTGCTTTTCCCTTATGATGACTTTCAGGTAATCTAACTTTTGAATTTTTATTTTTAATCAGATTTTTAGCAATAGTACTCACGGAATAATAACTTTGCACTATTTTGTTAATCAGCTCTCTTTTTAGCATATCAAACATAAAAATCGGTGCCATCAGAGCCTCTTTGCACTGTTCAATTTGCTCTGTTAAGTTACAGTAGAAGAAATGGCATGATTTCTTCATACTTTCAGACAGGTCTGTCTGCGTAACTTAGCAAGCTTACTGCCTTTAGAAGGAGCTGATCAGAGAGTTGTTTTAAAGTATATTTCTGTCYTTGTAGAGTAGGAAATTGTAACATTTATTCAAAGAAAAATTTGACATATTTAAGTTCTTAAAATTGCTTTTTCCTCCTTTTCCCTCCATATCAATGAAAGGTATCAAGTTGTTTAAATGAAACCTGTAAATAAACTGCTTCTCAGTTGTGTGTCACCAGCCAAAATTGACAAAATATCCTGGGCACAAAAGGACTCTAAAGTTACGCTTAGCTAAAAAGCTAGGATGGTTACATTTAACTGAAACTTGTACTACTCATAGAATATCTTTATAGAACAGTTGTGTTTTTCTTTGTACATGCACTGTTTTTGAAGCTTTGCTAGAGCAAGTTAACATAACCAGCAAAATATATTTGAGACTACAATTGGCATAAATCATAGAATCATAGAGTCCTTAAAGTTAGAAGAGACTTCTAGAGMTCATACAGTCCAACCCCCTGCACACACAGGGTCACCTAGAGCATGTGACATAGGGCAGCATCCAAGYGGGTTTTGAAGATCTCCAGAGAAGGAGACTCCACAGCCTCCCTGGGCAGCCTGTGCCAGGGCTCTGGCACCCTCACTGTCAAGAAATGTTTCCTTAAGTTCCTGTGGAACTTTTGGTGCCTCACCTTGTGGCCGTTTCCTCCAGTCCTATCGCTGGCCACCACTGAAAAGAGGCCGCCCCCTCCTCCTCACGGCCTCCCTTGAGGTATTTATAGACACTGATCAGGTCCCCCCTCAGCCTTCTCTTCTCCAGGCTGAACAGACCCAGCTCCCTCAGCCTTTGCTCACAGGGCAGATGTTCCAGGCCCCTGATCATCCTCGTAGCCCTGTGCTGGACTCTCTCCAGCAGCTCCACATCCCTCTTGTACTGGGGAGCCCAGAACTGGACACAATCTCCAGATGTGGCCTCACCAGGGCTGTGTATAGGGGGACGATCACCTCTCTTGACCTGCTGGAGACGCTCTTCTTAATGCACCCCAGGATCCCGTTGGCCTTCTTGGCCACMAGGGCACACAGCTGCCTCATGGTCAGTTTGTTGTCAACCAGAACTCCCAGGTCCCTCTCTTGGAGCTGCTCTCCAGCAGGTCCCCTCCTAATCTGTACTRGTGTCCAGGGTTATTCCTCCCCAAGTGCAGGACGATGCGCTTACCTTTGTTGAACTTCATGAGGTTTCCCACTGCCCAGTTGTCCAGTCTGTCCAGGTCCCTCTGACTGGCGACACAGCCCTCAGGGCTATTAGCTGGTCCTCCCGGTTTGGTATCACCAGGAAACTTGCTGCGGGAGCACTGCGTCCCTTCATCCAGGTTGTTGATGGATAAATTGAACAAGACTCGGCTGAGGACTGACCCTTGGGGGACACCACAGACAGCCCTCCAACCGGACTCTGTGCCGCTGATCACAGCCCTAAATAGTCAAGTCTCTCATATATCCCCCATACCTGCACTCAAAATATCTACTGATATTTGTGAAGTGTGCAGACACCTGTACCAGCTGTAAGTTAAGTGTTCCTGGGACTGTGTCAAACACACTGAATACCTCAGTTAGACTGGCTGTGAAAAGCTACATTGAGAAGTTGAGCACTTTCTTCAGCCAGGCATTTGAAGGTAAGGTTATGTTTATCCCAGTGAAAGTTTATACTGAACTATTTCTACAAAAGAGCAAATAAAAATCCTGTAACATGCTTCGTCTTCATATTATCTGTAGTATATTGAAATACTTGCCTGAGTCTGCCTGAGCACTCTTTCTGGGTAGTCTCTACTTCGTTATCACTGATTTTTACATGAATGTCTTTCTACTCAGAGCTTTCCTACTCTGAATTAGAAACAAATTGATCAAGAATATCCCCAGACATTTTGTTTGAGCAGTCCATGGGATGTCTCAGATATTTAATTGCCATTTCAAAAGTCTGTTTTTTTGCAGTTCTTGTCTTCATAATCTACATAACTGAATTTTGTTCACAGGCTTAGGTCTGTGAACAGTTTGGCTTTGGTCATCCTTTTTTCGCTTCCGTAATCAGATTTTCATCAAAGCAGCCAAGTGTGTGTTATATCAAAGGATTCCCTTCAGGTGGTCATAATGATAGTCAGATTTCCTGCCTGTTTATCCATCATCACTATAATATCTGAACGTGCTTTCCGGATTTGTCCTCTCATCTTTGGTAGAATCTCATTTTAGCCTTAACTAGATTAATGTAAGGACTTATTTACAGTGTGAAGCAGTTTTTTTTTTTTTTTTTTTTTTAAAGTTTCTCCGTTTAAATCTTACTAGCTTAAACATCACAGAATCACAGAATCACAGAATATTTAAGGTTGGAAGGGACCTCTAGAGATCATCTAGTCCAACCTTCCTGCTCAAGCAGGCACACCTACAGCATGTGGCACAGGGTGGCATCCAGGCGGGTTTTGAAGACCTCCAGAGAAGGAGACTCCACAACCTCCCTGGGCAGCCTGTTCCACTGCTCTGTCACCCTAAAAGGAAAGAAGTTGCTCCTCACCTGGAGACGGAACTTCTTGTGCTTCAGCTTGTGGCCATTACCCCTCGTCCTRTCGCTGGCCACCAGTGAGAACAGCCTGTCCCCTTCCTCCCTGCATTCTCCCTTCCTGAACTTATACATATTAATCATATCCCCTCTGAGCCKTCTCTTCTCCAGAGAAAACAGGCCCAGCTCACTCAGCCTCTCTTCGTACGAGAGATRTTCCATTCCCTTAATCATCCGGGTTGCTCTTCTCTGGACCCTCTCCAGAAGCTCCACGTCCCTCCTATACTGGGGAGCCCAGAACTGCACACAGTACATATAAACATATAACTGTCTAATAGCACTCTGAGCTATCTACCTTTTTTTTCAGATGTTGTTGAAAAAAGAGTTTAAGTCTGTGCTCAATATTTTAAAGCGTTACTGAGTTATAGCACAGAAACTTTAAATCTTTTAAATAATTTTGTTTTATTTTTTCATTCTGCTTCACGTGTAGTKTTTGATACCTGTAATTCAATGGTACTGCACCATGGATGGGTAACTCTTGGTAGACCTCAGTTGAAATGCTTGGTGTTGCCTTCATCCCCCAGAAGACTGATTTAATATAATGAGTGTTTAGACATATCTGTACATGGTCTTTGAACAGTTTAGAGGTGGAAACTCCTACCATTGTATAAAAGTCTGCTCAAGCCATTTCCTCTTACAGCATTCAGTTTCTTTCAAAGTTTTTCCTCTTGCTTAGGTTATACTGATTACAATCTAAAAAACACTTGCCTGAAAAGGAAGCCAAGCCCTGATAATTTATAAAGACATTAAAAGTAAGGTTATTTTGTTAATGGCATGGCTTTTCAGGCACTTTAAACAGTATTGAAAATCTCTTCTGATGTTTATTCCTCAGCACCTTGATATCACCAAAACATCAATCTCCTTCTGAATTTTAATAATTACAGAATAAATTGTGTAGTTTTATAGAGACAGATTGGTAACAAGATTGAATTTGTGCAGATGTTGAATTTATTTTGGCAGAAAGTGGAGACCAGTGTTCATGCTTAATTTGGATAACTGATTTCGTTGTAAGTGCATGGTAGTGCACTTATGTAACTGGCTTGCTGTTATTTGCACTTGAGCAGATTACAGAATACAGTTTTTTAACCACCTAACTGTTGGAATTGTAACAAAGTAGAACTGTCTTAATTCTTGCAATTTTTAATAACTTTACCATGTTGATATTGGGTTCAGACTTACTCGATGTCTCGTTCCATAGTCATTGTCCTTGGCGCTTTCAGTTTGCGACTTGTGCAACCTCAGAGCTCTGCGCAGTGAGGAGAACTGATGAGAACTCTATGTTGGCAACTGGAAATCCTGCACACTAACCAGCTTCTTGGCACCATGCACAGCTTGCTTTGCTTTCTTTCTCCCTTCAGAAGTTGTTTGCTTGGAGAGAGGAGGGGTAGAAGGAGCTTTCTGCACTGAATTCACTAGTCAAGTTATTCCCTAACTTAATTTTCATCAAATCTTAGAAAGTGATCTCTTTATATTTAGAGATCTTTTTGATCTCTAGCAAAGAAAGTTTGCTTTCATTCTGAATAACTAGACTCTCTAAGCCTTAGATATCCTTGTTTTTCACGGTCCTTTTACTTTCTAGCAATTTGTTTAAATTTTTCAGTATGGTCCATATATTTTAGTTACTAAACAGTTTAGTTAATGATAAAAACGTTTTTCTCTTTTCTCCACTCCCATTAATCCTATGCTATGCCTAATGGCTCAGTTATTCCAAGTCACCAGAATTTCAATAATTTACCAAATAATGATATATCTTATTATTCAACTAACACTAGTATTTGAATGTACTACCTTCATAGATCATATTGAAATCATAACTCGATGAATATGAAATGAGTAGCTGGTGATTACCTTATCTGTGTAGCAGGTCAGCTCTTCAGAGAAACCATAAACCAATTGCCCTGCTGTAAGATGCTTTAAGCCCGAACACTTGTGTTTCTAAACTAAAACTCCTGACTTGAGCATGTTATCTGCATTCCTACGGTCAAGTTTTTCCTCAGTACAGACTGAGTTTACAAGCAGTGCAGATATCTTCCTGCACAAATCAAGTATGGCATTGCAGAGTTACCCCACTGCTCTTCCGAGGGTGTTCAGGAGTTTCAGTCAGATGTTTTTTCTTTTACTTTTGAGTAATCTGCATTTGGTTGCCACCTTGGAGTTTAAAAACCTTTTGTGCCTCATTATTTTCCCTTGA